GACCAAGTACTGCCTTCGTGGAGCTTGAGTGTCTAGAGGGGAAGACACATCAAACTTGTGCAGGTGGACGAGGTCCTACTGTACGGTGCAGCGCGGCAGCATTGTAAATCGGCTGTACTTCGGTTTAAAAGAAAACAAAACAGAACATGTAGTGTGCTGAGTGTTGGGAGAGAAAGGACAGCTCTCTGTGGGCGCGTTGTAAGGGGTACCAGCCTGATCTTGGAAGTTCAAGGGAAGCTACGCTGCTTGTGTTAGAGGCTGTGTGAAGACTCAGAACTTTGAGGAACTGAAGACCATTGTGTCTGAAGCTTAGTGGGAGAGGAGAGTAGTAAAAAGCAGCAATTGGGTCATGGAGGGTGTTATAAACCATGGTTAAGGTACTAAACTTTATCTGAAGTCTAATAGGAAGAAGCTCTTAAAAGGTTTTAAAAAAGAAAATGATATATTTGCATTTTTAAAAGATGAGTCTTATCGTAGATAATACATACTTCCCCCAAAACAAACTGGGAACAAATACAGTATATACTGTGGCAATTCATAATGTTCCTTCCTTGCTCACCCTGAGGCCTGGAAGTGGCTTTAAGTAGGCAAATAGGGCTTCTCAAGTGAAGTATTTCATTCATTTTTCCTGACTACAAAATTATGACTCAAGTTGGAAACAGTGAAAATGTTTGAGTCACAGTTAAGTCTTTAAGTAATTTAGGTTAATTAATTCTATTATGGCATGCTTTTCCTCAGAGCCATTTAAGCTCAGAAACAATAATGGTATTTAGGAGGTAATTTTATGATCTTATATATAGTTTTCTCTTAAAGATTTGAATAGCCGGTAGAATTTTCCATAATAAATTTTTTTCCTTACAAGTAACCAATTCAAAAAGCTTTTTCTGAGTAATGCTGATTTTTACCAACAGTATTTTTGCCATAATAATATAAACAATCTTAAAGTATTGTGGCTTTATAAACACTTCTTAGGTTTTAAGGTAAAGAAAACTTGTGTTCGCTCAGTTCTCAAATGTGGCCAAGTAATAATTTCCTTTAAGTGACTTACTTGCATTCTTGGTTACCTAGCATAAAGTATACATTGAAGAATTTGTTCAGAGTGGAAATCTATTGTGATAGCAGGTTTTAAAGAGCTACAGACTTAAGGAGCCAAGAGCTGAATTTGAAATGTGTCAGATGTTAAACAAATAGAAGGTAGTTTATAGCAGAGTTTATTCTTTTATTACACTGCTTGAACCCAAGAGACAAAGAAAAAAAATTTTGGAGGAAAAACTTGCAGAGCATCCCGTTGGCAAGAGTAAGAATTTTCCACTACCACTTACCCTGAGGGCATTGACATGCCCCATCAGGGAAATATCACTGGGTGTGATCATCGGAACAGGCTGCCTTCTCCTCAAGCACAGAACTCTGGAATTCACGGAAGCCTGCAGACAAAGGAAAACGGTGTTAGTTGAAGAGTATTCATCGACTCTTTGCTTTCGTGGATCTTTCACGTCCTTAGAGAACCTGCTTCCTAGTAGATTTAATCCAAAAGTGACACTTAGAAAATGCATGAGCCGGAGTCACACAGTAAGGCAAAGGAGTTCTTTCGGTAACTGAGGTTCCTTAGGCCAGGCTCCGTTTGCTTCCTGGCTTAGTTTCCTGTCTGAGACGAGGACATAAGCTGTGTTGGTCAAGGTGATGTGAGGGACGGTCCTTCTAGCTAAGAACAGTGGAATTTGACAGGTTTTAAAGACCAGTTTGAATTTCTGTTACTTAGTATCTTTCCACAAAGAGATCAGTTTATAATGGAGACAAATTAAATGTAGAATTTCAAGGTAGTACACGTCCCAGGTGTTGGGGACTTGGGGTCTTCTTGGCCTGGAGCCGTGGCATGCTGGGCACGTGAGAAACAGCACCTAGTAAAGGCTTTTCACGGGATCTGTGACATCAGTTATTAAGCGTGTTTGTTTCCTGGTATTAATTTTCTTCTGTATTTGGAGAACTTTAAAATACGGATTACTGGACCCCAACCCGAATGCAGTGAACCAGACTCTTATTTAAAGAGCAGGTTCTGAGATTCTGTAAAAGGCCCCCAAGTCATCTTTAATTCCTAAATATTTAATTGCCTTCCAGTTAGAATGGCTGTAGGATGGAAATAAAGTTGAGAAGAGTTTGACATCAGTTTGTAAGGACTTCCCAGTCACTTGTTCCCCTAGCATTTCCTGTTTGACTCATTACTGAATATTTGACAGATAATTAAATGTATGTCAGTACGACTTTAGTACAGCAGAGAGACAGCCTTCATATATTTAAAATAGACTTTTCAGAGAAAAATAGTTGGTTTCTTTGTAATGTCAGTATAAGGATAATTTTAAATGCTTCATGTAAAGTATTGATCCCACTTTAAACCACTAGTTTTTATATTGACTGTTACCCAGGAAAGAAACTTAACCTTGGTGTTTATTGCTTCAAAAACACATTTTTCATTCATTGCAAATCCTCTGACCTTCCAGTGAAACACAGCAAAATAAATGCCAAGATACTGCTTTTGGGTCCTCTTGTGGTTGATCCTCAATTTGAATATTAGATTTGCTGGCCTTAGTTAACTGTGGCCGGGTGTAAGAGAGTATGACCTAGGGCTTACGTGTGAAGTTGTTGGAAAAGAAGAGGCTCTTCTTGCAGTATAACGTGGAACGTCCTGCTTTTCGATTGCTATCGTATGTTCAGTTGTTACAGTGCAGGCATGCTTACAGGTCGTGGGGACTACGCGCCTTGTTACAAGTCTTCTGCTCTGGTAGAGTCATGACATAAATGGCCTCAGACAGCAAAGGAACGTTTTCAAATAAGTTTTCCATTTAGGGTGATACAGTAATCATTGAACTTGTATTCTTTTCATTTCAGGGTCATGCGGGATCAGATTAGTTGTGACAACCAGAAGTAATGTAGTAAAAGTTTTAAAATTGATCTTTAAAGTTTCATCTTGTTAGGATAGTTTAGCTGTTGAAGGTCACTGAAGTTAAGAATATCATTACTTTCTTGTCATTATGAGCAGAATTACATTAAAATGATAGAGTCATTTGTTCAGTCTGAATATTGCTGTTTATTGCATAAGCATTTCCAGCAGGAATTTCACCTTAACTTAATGTGTCTCTGCAGTCAGACGCACGGATGATCTTTGCCTCTTGAGGTTATATTGCCAATCTCTTTCTGTTCTGCCTTGTGACCGTATTTCCTACTTAGGTTATAGGGTTGTTTAATGAAGCAGAGCTCAGAAAAAACACATCATACTGCCTGAATTTAAAAGTTCTGAAACAGAAAAATCAGGACTAAATTGAAGGTTTAACAAATGAAAGAAATCTTCTACTTGGACAGATGGCTGTTTTGCCAGTTTGTATATAACCGGTGATGGAGTTGCAGTTCATTATATAGGATAAATCTGGAAAACTAAGATTTGACTTAAAAATATATGCAGTTCTAGGAGAGACCATGCTTATTTGTTACAACTTTTAGCTGTCCTTGCGTAAGACTTCCAGACCACCTTAGTACCTTTGAGAAAGTCAGGGAAAGCTGTACACTTAATTTTACTGTCCGGATGCTTTGGTACTGACCCGTACTCCTTTAATATTTGAGCACCTGCAGTCTGTGGGCCTTGTTCTCAAGGTGCATTGAAATACTGACTTTATCTGCTCCTTAGTCTGCGTTGTAGCATTTACTTGAAACAAATCAAAGAAAGGAGCTAAGACGTGGGCCCTTTAAGAGCTATTAAAGGAACTCTGGCCCAGAAGGAAGACTCGGTTGACTTAAAGATCTAGAGGTTATGCAAGAGGTTTATATCTGATAATTCAAATATCAAAAGGTGCCAAAGGGTGCAAGGTAAAAAGTCTCCCCCCACTAATGCCAGTGGGAGGGTGTCACCTGAACAGTGGTTGTGAACCAGTGTTCATGGTACGCCTTCCTGGAGGTGTTTCCTCATACCAGGGCAGCTCTGTGTACGTAATGCTTCACGCTTGTTTTCCCCCCACTTAATGTACAGTGTATCTTAGAGGAAACACTCACTTTAATATGAACAGAGTTGTCTCTTCAGTCTGCTGCTGATAAACTGATCAGTACTATGTGTATCTTTAGAAAACATTTCTTGTAGTGGAATTTATGGGGTAAAGAGATTTTGCTTTGCAATTGGAGATATATATGTATGTATGTGTGTGTATATGTATATATTGAAGATTGTCTTCTAGAGATTGTGTAAGTTTTATAAGTTTCTTTGTACTCAGCAGCATATATAGGGTGGTCACTAAGTCTGGAAATGTAGTTGAAATAAAAATACCAAATGGACTATTAATGTTACATGGTATGTATAGTGACATTATGTTCAGTTTTGTCCTGGTTAGCAGTGCACTAGAACAGAATTTTCATTAATATCTGCTCAGGGACTTGCCTCTAAGTGATTTGTGCCTCTGGTTTTGTTTTGTTTTTTGCTTATTAAAACTGAAGTTTTCAGATCTTGTAGTCACCTTGCATAAAAAGCCCTGTTTGTATAGATCCTTTCAACTCAGTGCATTTTTTCAACTTTTTATCAATTTTGGTAGTTTTGAAAAGTGGTATCTACATGTGGTTTTCTCTGGCTTTTCCCTTGTGAGTGAGATTAACTGAGTACCATTTTAGAGGCGTTTGTTTCCTATTCATGATAATTTAGCTTTCCCAGTGGAATGAACCACGGCTTGTACAGTTTATTCCCCCTCATCAGGCCACATGTGTGTAAATAACGTGTACTTAGAGTTGTTTGCCCAGGCATCGTTCTCTTCCTGTGTAATTCAAACCTTGTATGTCTCTAGTGAAAGAGTTTCTATGACCCTGAGGACAAGTTGATAATCTTGCTTATTGTAGCAGATTTTTATGTATTTGTGCTATATGCAGGCTATTTATTTTCTTTAAAAAAAACTGATTTCGAAATAAGTTTATTGTTACATAACATGATTGTAAAAGTTCTTATTTTAGCTGCCCTTTTTCTCCCCAATTAGTTGGTGACAAAGTTCCTGCTGATATAAGATTAACTTCCATCAAATCTACTACTCTAAGAGTCGACCAGTCAATTCTTACAGGTAAATATTATGTATTGGCAGGTTGTTGAATTTCTGAAGGCTCTCTCAGGTCCCATGCTAATAATTGAGTCAGCTCTTGCCCCACTGTCCCTTTATGGTATCCCATCTTAATCCTCTGCAAGATATTTATTTATTAATGCTTTATCAGTTAGGCTTTTGGCCAATATGTGGAGTAAAGGAATGATTTAAATTTTGTTTTAATTGGCTCTCATCTCATAAGGCCAGTGTTTTAATTTTATTAAAAATTAGTTTTGATTTTTAAAGGCACATCATTTTTAAATTACTTTTTTTTTAAAGGTTACAAATTCCTTCATTAACAGAGGTAGTAATATTAAGGTTGTGTTGTTGTCTCTGTTTTGTGAAAAGTGAATTAATTGCTTAATGTTCTTTTTTCCAAGTAGAAAAATAGGCTCCAGAAATGCTAATCTCACATCTAACATACTTTGCAATAATCAAATGTACAATTTTAATAAAAGTTAGCACCCTCCAAAAATCGTGAGTGTTGACTCCCTAAAGTTTGCACATTTAGATTTGGCACTGTTTGGAACATTTTCTCATTTTTTTTTTTGTTTGATAAAAAGGCACAGTCTAGGGTGGAGGGTTCTTATTAACTGGAAGTAAGGTGGTCAGAAGATTAACTTAAACACAATGCCTGCCTGAATTAAATAGAAAGTAAATATAAAATTCAGAGATTATCAAGATTTATCTAATCAGTTTTGAAAAGCAGCTAATGTCATAGAGGCAGGGCTTGTGCGTACCTGGGCTCTGTATTTTTTATTGTTTCTTTGTGAATAGCTTATCTACTAAAACTCCCATTAGCAGCGATAGCCTGGAAGCTGATTAAGCCATACGATGACAGGGAATTGACTGGTTGTATACGTGAAATTCTCGTATTGTGTCCACAGAAAAAAACTGCCATTTTAAAACCTTCCATAGTTTCTTGAGTGTCATTTTTGTTTAAAAATCATGGTGTAGTTTTAGGCTAGATTGAAGAAGCCAATTTTTTTTTAATCAAATATTTAGTGTGAAATTTGCAGCCTGAAATTGAAAACTGGGGCCATGTTTCATATCACATCATTCAACCTGACCCTGGTTGCATACAGTTAACCCTTGAACAACCTGGGTTTGAATGAGTCCACTTAAGTGCAGATTTTTCTCAATAGTAAATACACAGTACTACACTAGACCAGTTGGTTGAATCCACAGATGCAGAACCACAAATACAGAGGAATTGCGTATACAGAGGGCCAACTATTAAGTTTTATGCAGATTTTTGTGTAGAGGGTTGGCACCCCTAACCCCTGCATTATTTAGGAATCAACTGCATTTCATAAATGATGTAAAGTTGAAACCAAATGTCAGCAAGACATTGTAAAGCAGTCCTTTATACCAGGTGATCTTTTTAGTGCAAATGCTGATTGCTGTCTCTTTCAGTTTTGTTTTATTGCAATAGAACAGTCAGATTAGTACATGCAAATATTCCTAGAACAGTGTTTTCATTTCTCATCTTTGGCATGATTGAACAAACACAGTCTTTCCAGTGGATGATCCTCGTTGTTCATATAATGTGTCTACAGTTTGTTCAGTTTATTAAAAGTAAATATACTTTCACCTCTTTTTTTTAAGTATTGGAGTGTTTGTATATATAAGTATACAACAAATCTGTGTTTACAGTAGTAGAGTATAAGATGATACCTGATAAGGAACTGAATTTGAATAGTTAAGAAAATAAAGGTAATTGTCTGGGATTTCACTTCAAAATTAAGTTCCTTTTATTTAGAATCCCACCCCCCAAAATTAGTTTCTGTTACTAAACCTTACTAGTTTATGTCCTTTGAATGAACTGGGCCTTTTTATACTTTTCCTGAGAGTGGTGGTGGCACGAGTGGATGAGGGAGCCGAGGTTCTGGGTGTAGAACGCACAGATCTAAACATACCTTCTGTATCACGTCCTGCTTAGGTGAATCTGTCTCTGTCATCAAGCACACTGACCCTGTCCCTGACCCACGGGCTGTCAACCAGGATAAGAAGAACATGCTCTTTTCTGTAAGTACTTTATCAAGTGCAGTTTTATTTGGACACATTTTCAGAGTTTTAAGCCTGCAGATTTTTTTTTTCCTACTGCCTGTCTTCAGTGGGCAGACTTTAGAAAGTGTTAGCTGTTATTCCAAAGGATAATCAGATAACCACCCTCTGCAAGGTCAGTCTCAGCCGTCAGGAAACACCTGTAATGTATAACGAAAGGTTCAACGTGTGACCTCAGTGTCTTTTAATTGGCAAGTTTTTGAGGATTTTTTAAAAAGATCAGATCAAACACCTTTAAGCTCTTTATAAACATAGTAGAAAAGTAGATTTTGAGGGGGGAAAGGTTTAGCCTACAAAGGATTGCTTTCAAAATGATGTGGATGATAATCTGTGTGTAGTTCACAGTAAAAACGTGTGTTTTAGAGAGAAAGTAAATGTGGCAAACCATTAATAACGGTGAGTCTGAGTGAAAAGTAAAACGGATGTTCATTGTACTACAGTTTTTCTGTTAAATAAAACCTAGGGAGTTTGGAAGTTGGGAACACAGGGTTAGAGCTCTGCTCCAGCCCAGAGCTGGTCTGCAGGCCAAGGGCAGTGGTGTGAACGGGGACTCCGGGTGGGTCAGTATAGAGCTGCTCTGGGGTGAGCAGGTTCCATTCTCATTTTGTGGAGAATCAGGGAGAGGTGGCCTGCACGAGATGTTAATCGTGAAAGTTGGGTGGCTGGTTGCCTGAATAATAATACCTGGAAGGCTCAGTGGAACGCAGTGAGAGAATCTGGGTTCCCTCTCAAAATCCACATAAGTCTGAGTTTACTAGGCAGTGTTTAAGTTGGGGGTGGCGGTAATCTTGTGACCAGTTCTCTACGTCTGTCCTAGGGTACAAACATTGCTGCTGGCAAAGCCATGGGAGTGGTGGTGGCAACTGGAGTTAACACCGAAATTGGCAAGATCCGAGATGAAATGGTGGCGACGGAGCAGGAGAGAACGCCCCTCCAGCAGAAACTAGATGAGTTTGGGGAACAGCTTTCCAAAGTCATCTCCCTTATTTGCATTGCAGTCTGGATCATAAACATTGGGCACTTTAACGACCCAGTTCACGGCGGCTCCTGGATCAGAGGTGCTATTTACTACTTTAAAATTGCCGTGGCCCTGGCTGTAGCAGCCATCCCTGAAGGTCTGCCTGCTGTCATCACCACCTGCCTGGCTCTCGGGACTCGCAGAATGGCAAAGAAAAATGCCATTGTTCGAAGTCTCCCTTCTGTGGAAACCCTCGGTTGTACTTCTGTTATCTGCTCAGACAAGACTGGTACGCTTACAACAAACCAGATGTCAGTCTGTAGGGTAAGTGGGAGTAGTCGAAGAGTCTTTCCCATTGTGGTTGTTGATTCATCCTGGGAATATGCCCTTATGCCATCAAAACCTTTGATTGAAAATTTGATACCTTTTTATGTGCTTTAAACAAATTGGGTTGTATGTGTAGCCTGAGCCCAAGGTAATTTCTTACACTTAAGAGGAATTAATCATTTAATTCCTAAAACTATTTCATGAAATAAAGGATATCTGCGTGGCTGACATATTTGTATTGGGGAAGTAACTGTAGGCAGCTGTGTTAGGTAACTAGGCTCCTTTTATTTCCCTGTTCCTCTGTCTCTAAATGGGTGTTTGTTAACAGACAAGCTTCAGGGGAAGAGTTCTGTAAAGCAGCTAGTTACCTGCGTACCTGAAATTCTAATTGGTATTTCCTTAACACATTGAATGAGACATGTTTTCTTCTTGAAAAGTAAATCATTTCCTTTAATTTGTTCCATTCTATGTGTTCATCCTTCCTTTCTTAGGTTATTTTGACCATCACTTGGGAGTAAAATAAGAAACTAAATCTGCTCTTAGCAAAATAAGAACAGCTGAATTAAGCTGAGTTAAGTTCTTTCATATAATTCAGTTTCCCTAGGTTTTATTTAAACAACTTTGGGGTTGGAGGATGAGAGAAAAAGATGAGGGAAATTGAGGTGCAGACTTCCAGTTACAGAACAAGTGAGTCATGGGTATGAAATGTACAGAACGGGGAATGGGGTCGGTAGTGATGTAATCTCTCTGTATGGTGATGGATGACAGGCTTATCAAGGTGATCATTTTGAAACGTGTAGAAATATGAAATCACTGTTGTGCACCAGGAACTAATGTATTGTTGAAGGTCAATTATACCTCAAACAAACAAACAAAAAAAGCATCAGATTTGTGGTTATCCAGAGGCAGGGGGTGGGAAGAGAGGGAATTGGATGAAGGTGGTCAAAAGGTACAGACTTCCAGTTACAAGATAAGTACTGGGGTGTAATGTACAACGTGTTAATATAACTAGGACTGCTGTACATTATATGTGAAAGTTGTTAGAGTAAATTCTCGGAGTTCTTATCACAAGGAAAAAATTTTTTCTTTCATTTTGTACCTATGTGAGGTGATGGATGTTCACTGAACTTGTGGTCATCCTTTCATGTTACATGAAAGTTGCATCGTTATGCCGGACACCTTACGCTTACACAGTGCTGTGTGTCAATTATATCTCAATAAACTGGAAGGAAAAATTTTAAAGTGATTCAAAACAGCAGCTACCACTGCTGCTTTGTATGTGTCAAAGTAATTTTTCAAATACTGAGTGGGCATATATCAGAGATCCTATTTGGCTCATTAATTCAATGAGGGGAAATCAGAAAGGTGGTAAAACTGGTTACAAGAGCATGTGAGGAAATCCTCGGTATTAGAATAGAGTTGGTCTGTGTTAGATTACAAAAACTGGTTAATATCCTTAGGGGAATAAAACAAAGGTTATCTTTTCTAGAGAACAAAAATTTACAACTTCATAAAACATGCACCCTTAATTAACAGTAAGTAGCACAGTGAAGCAGTGTTGAATTTTTCCAGAACACTAAATTTTTGAGTGGTCCTGTTAAGGAACGCTTCTGAATGACATTGAAAGGACATCCTCTTGGCTTTATCTCCACATTTTAAATAATGTTTTTTTAAGCATTGGAAATTGCTTTTGTTTAAATACAAGTAAAACCTGAACCTTTTTCTTACCAAATTTAAATTCAAGAAAACATTTAGATATGTACCCCCAATGCTTTGTGTAGTCCAAACCCAGATTTAGAATGGACAGGTGTTTAAAACAGATTGGAGTGCTGTCAAGTGCTAAGAGTCTAGCTTGTCTTGAGTTTCTCAAGTAGATGATTTAACTGAGCTACCTAAGTTCTCTTTCCTTGGAACCAAAAAAGTTTGGACAAATCTTCTAAAAAGCTAGCTGTCGGCTAAAAGCTGATTAGGGGAGAGAAAGGGAATTTTAAGTTACCTGTTTGGTTTCCCCCAGGAAATTGCTGTTTAAACTTAGCCTGAAAGCTTTAATTCCTTGGAACAGGCGTTATATCCATGAAAGTAAAGCAGTGTGTGAAATTGTAATCTTTAAAAAATGGTTAATTTCAAAGTTGTGGCAGCAAATCAGACTTCAAACTAAGACTAAAACAGAATCCATGATAATTTTTTGTTTTTGTATTTTCCCTTAAATGGTTTGACTTAAAATGTTCTATTAAAGAAACAGCTTTCCTCTTTATTCTGTGTCAGTGACGGAAAGCTGATGCTGATCAATATTCTACAGGAGGATTCTTGCATTAGATTGCGTAACTGCCCTTGGCTTCGGGATACTTGGATCATGCATTCAGATTTGGTTTGATGAGGTTAGAATTCTGAATCTCTTAGAATATTTTGGACTGTGGTATAGACCCAGAGAGTTTCAGTTTTTATAAACAACATCATTGCTACATAGTAGTAATAATGCCCCCTTGCTTTGGTAGGGCTTAGTGCAGTCAGTGTGTTTTTCACATGTGACTTTATTTGAATCATATGGTAATCCTGCTCAGGAGGTAACTTCAGCTCTGAGAAGTTGTGACATGTCTGAGGGTCACACAACTTTTAACAAAAGGGTAAGATCGCGTTTTCTGATAGGAAAGATCGGAAAGCTGGTTGTCGCTCTTCCACTTAATAATTGTGTAACCTCGAGCACATCCTTTAAATTCTCTAGCCGTTTGTTTCCTCTTTTGTAAAATGTCAAACGTCTTTGGAAAAAGCTTTCTGCAAAGCTTCCTTTTTTAGGTGCTGTATCTGTCAGAAAAAAACTAGAATTTGGTGATCTTGCTGCATGTGACCTTGGAAATGAATCTTTTCCTCATTTGACACATCGGTTTTATGTATTTGAACTCGAGTCTTTTATCAGGAGTCATCAGTTTTCAATCCTGTATATCTCATACCTTTAGGTCAGTTCCAAGGTTGATTTAGTTCTGAGTATACTTTTGAAACTTTTGGAGTTCTTAAAAGTATATGCAAAAATAATAAGTAAATAAATAAAGAAAATAAGCTATGTAATATGCAAACCTTGTGAAGTAAAAGAAGTTATTTTAAAATAAAGATAAGCAGATTTTCTTACTGTGTATGAATCAGAATGCTCCAAAAAGATCATCTTAAAGCATTACATGGCCTTTTTTTACTTGAATTTAACCTTTTAAAATTTCTTATTGTAGAATGGTTTGATCATATTCTTAATCGCTCATATTCAGAGAGATGTTGGCATGATAAAGTATAGTTGAAGTACCACTTCTTCCTGTATTTTGTTCTTTTTTAAGAGAAGCTTTTACAGTTTCAGTTTGCAATGAAAACGCAAGTCTGAGTCTTAGTCTTCCAAATCAGGCTCCTGGATTATAGTTTTTGGAAAGCAAACCAAGGGGGGGATAACCTTCATCTTTAAAAAACTAGCTTGTGTCACTTTATTCTCCAAAAGTAAGAATTCTTTCCTAAGCATGCTTTCGTCTGTGTTGTCTTGGTGACATCAGTTCATTCAACTTTGTGGGCTCCTTACTGCATACGTGTGGTTGTGCAGCTTCAAAGAAAATGAACTGTTGCCACAAGAAGAATTCATGGAAGGAGCAGAGAAGCAGTTTGTCTTCTTTTACTTAAGAGAACACTTACGCAGCTCTGAAATGGGAGTTTATTCTTCCCAGGCTTATTTTAGTAAAAATCTTTGCTCCAGGGTGGGAGAACCTATTTCATTTCTCAGCCAGCCGTTTGAAATTTGGAATTCGGGTCGCTCTACAGCGTACCCCTCAAGGGACAGTATTTCTGGTGCTGAGCTTCAGGTAATAAATTTCATTAAAATTGATACCTTAAATGAGAAAGGTTTTTGTCTTAACAAGGATTATATGCTTTCTGGGATTTTTTTTAATACCTTTTAAACACTTTTCCTGTAGATGTTCATTCTGGACAAAGTTGAAGGTGATACTTGTTCCCTTAATGAGTTCACCATAACTGGATCGACATACGCACCTATTGGAGAAGTGTGAGTAAACTCTGCTTGTCTTTTACAGGCTCCGCTGGCTCAGTTTGGTGCTTGTATAGTGCCTTGCAGTGTCTCTACAACTTTCAGGTTTCTGAATGTGCCTCATATTGTTGGTTGTTAGAGTAATTAATTTTCCTAAGCAGAATTGATAATACACACTAGGAAAGAGGGAACACAGGTTACATACACTGGCAGCCCTTTTTCATCTTTTGAAGCCTAAATCTTCAAGTAGGGTTTCTGCTTGTTCTTTATTGATTGATACCAGTGACAGAGGAATTTCATTAAGAATTTCCAGTCATTACTGATTAACTCCTGGTGTCAGAGACAATATTCTGTTATTCTCTCCAGCTTCAGATTTTTAAGAGCCATCACTCAAAACCTTTTGAATATTTGCCAGTCTGTTGTCCTCAAAATTATATTCGTATTATTAAATAATAAAACAAAAGTCAATAGAGGTAACCACACTGTGCTATAATAGTTATTTTTTCTTTTGACAGACATAAAGATGATAAACTAGTGAAGTGTCATCAGTATGATGGTCTTGTGGAATTGGCAACAATCTGTGCTCTCTGTAATGACTCTGCTTTGGATTATAATGAGGTAAGGCTCTTCGTAAATGAGAAACTAGACCTGACTGTTCCCAGTTCAAGGGTGCGGTGGGTGGAATGAAAATCCAGCCTTCCTTCCTCCCTTTCTGAAAATACAGGTTCCTGATTTTATTTCCCCTTTCCATTCAAGAGCGTGTCTCTGTCAGAGCCAGCGGGACCTACCCAGAGCAAGCTGCGAGCCTTTGCTGTGTTCTGTGTGCCTAAGCATTGCAGCTACTAGCTGGGAGTTGTCGCGTGGCATGGGGCTCGCTCTCTGTAGTCTGGTTTCTGTAAATGAATGAAACCCAGGATGCTTTCTCCTGAAAGTGTAGTATATTGATCCTGCTTTTTAAGATGGGTAGCGTTATATCCTTAAGAACATGCTGAGGTTTAAAGGGTTGTTTTGATGATGATATAATAATAAAAGATTTAACCAACAGAAAACCTTTCTTCCTCCCTTTTTTAATAATAAATAGTAAGATAAATCGTTTGGTTTCTGTCAAAAGACAAGCTGGTCTCCATCAGAGTATAAACACTCTAGAATGATAATGACATGGAATTACAAATGCTACTCGAAAGCTCTCTATATTTGAATTAATACTGTGATTATTAGCTTCTTATAGTTAAGGGAAATGAAAAACGTAATTATTAGAAAAAGATAAAATGCACACTGATATTTATTTTGCATTATCTGGATCATGTGCTCCAGAGTAGGATAAAAACAGCCCACAGAATAATGATGCAGTGGAGGACAAACTGTCCTCCTATGGAAAAAGTCATTATTAAGGAAAATCTACTTTTTTTTTTTTTTTTTACTACTTTTCCTTTTTTGTAACTTCTGTACCTTCAATAATACAGGCGAAGGGTGTGTATGAAAAAGTTGGAGAAGCTACAGAGACTGCTCTCACTTGCCTGGTAGAGAAGATGAATGTATTTGATACCGAACTGAAAGGTCTTTCTAAAATAGAACGAGCCAATGCCTGCAACTCGGTCAGTATCTGAGCTTGGTGTTTTGTTTATGCTGCCCAGCACTCACACCAGATACTTAGCCCATTTATTCTCACAACTTTAGGTAACTTAAATATATACCTTATCTCCTCAAACCTGTTCTGTCTCCTTCCTCATACTCGCTCTCAGGTAAAATGATCTGGTAAAATGATACTTTGATCAAGAAAATAAAAGTAATCAGTAGATTCTCTCTGCATGCAACCTTCTGCGCCCAGAAGGTCGACCTTCTCCCCTGTGCTGTGAATGGGCCCTTGCTTCTCGCAGAAACTGGCTGCTCCTTGTCTTGTGAGCCCCAGCATCTCGCTCCTGCGTTATCAGTTTCCCATCTCGGCAGGATCTTCGTTAGAGACATAGTACCATGTCTTTTATCTGAAAACTTTCTTGACTTTAGCACCCTGCTGCTTTTCCTTTACGGTAAAACTTCTCAAAAGAGCTCCTTCCATGTAAATTGTATTATCTCACTCCTTCCATTTTCTTGAGTCCATGCCAGTGAAGCTTTGCCTCTTACGTCCGTCGCCTGTGACCTTGTGCTCGACGGTCCAGGTGTTTACGTGTGCACACCCACTCGGACAAGACAAGAAAAGGAGGTTACAGACTAACACTTTTCATAATACAGCTGTGGAGATTCTCGACACAACATCAGCAGATTGAGTCTAGTAATACACTAAACCTGTGACTCTATTCAAGCAGAATCACCACGACGACAAGGCTAGCTAACATTCAGAGGTCAGTCAGCGGGGTGGCAGTGGCGAGGGTGCAGGTGTGTCTGTCACGTGCGAGAACATTAGACAGATGTGCGGCCCTCGGCCGCCTTCCTCCTGCCTGTCAGAGCCCTGGAGCCTGGGTTTTCTTGGGCTGCGCAAGCGTGGACCAGTCTGTTGAGGAGATCTGGGTGCTGGAGGCTGAGCACATGGCCAGTGTCTGCCAGCAGCTATCGCACATTGTTTTCCTCAGGTCTGGCTTCACCAGGTGTGTGAGACCACAGAATCCAATGACAGTATATTGCAGGACAGTTGAGCATGGTGACTTTAAGTAGGACAGCATCTCCTTGACAGGGACCTCGTTCTGGTTGCTGAGGCTCAGGCCTCGCTTTTTCGGGCCAGTTTCTCACTTGTGGTCATGGTGATGCCGGCTCACTAGACCTAAATGATAACCTCCCTTGTCCTGGCCAGAGTGGTGAGTGAGTGCTTGGATGAGAAGCAGCGTAAGCAGGGTACAAACAAGATGGTCCAGTCCGTGCAGGTCAGAGTGACGGGCAGCAGCAGGTGGAAGCAGAAAGAGAGGAAGAGAAGACGCCTGAGGCCAAGCAGCAAGCTGAGGAAGCTCAGAAGTGGGAACCACGGAAGCCAGGGAAGGCGAGCTGGAGAGCGGACTGGGGTGCCAGGCAGGAGCAGAAGAGACCTAAGAAGGAAACAAGCCAGGCCCAGGGCCTGCATCCGGCCCCACCCCCACAAGAAACCACTAAAAACAGCAGAGCCCGCTCTGACGGAGTGAACACCGTCATGCAGTGCAGGGTCTGTGTAGTCACGAGGTCCTGCAGTGGGGCCTCCAGAGCGAATCCCAGTGCCTGCTGCCTCCCAGCCTTGGAGCCTCGATCCCTGTGGGACTGGGTTCTGCCACGCGTGATCTTAGTGTCAGACCTGTGTACCTGTCATCTCCAGATGGCTACTAAATGGTATTCGAGGCTCCTCTTTGTTCGTTAGGGTTTTCTGGTGAGGAGATAGGAAAATCAGAGGTAAACGCATAAATAGCCTTTTCTAGTTACGCAGAAAGAAGCAAGGCTCATTTCTACCACTCCGTTGACTTTGTGTCATCCTTCCCTGTATCCAGGGCAGATGAGGAGGCAGTGTGTTTGGGGGGAGTAGGGTAGCACCGCATGGTGCATGCCACCTAAGTTGGGGGACAGCACACATTTTCTTCAGGATCTCAGCTGTATAAGCATTTCAGTGACCACACCAAATCTCAGGCTGTAAAAAGGACTTTAGGACCATCTAGTCCAGTCTCACACTGGCAGGTAGGGAAACTGAGGCCCCCAGTGACTTGCAGCATGATGCAGACTTGGGCGCCCGCTCCAGCACCCTTTGTCCTTTACATGGTTTTGTAATATCCTGAGAAAACAAAATGCACTAGAATCAAGGATGTCTTGGCTGAGGTATGGAATCTTTCACAGTAGCCTTGCTCATGTGTCGCAAGTAGGAATCTCACGGCCACAGGGCTCTCAGGCAGCTCCTGTGGCATCCGGCCCCGACTTAACATGGTTCTTGTGAAATGGAAGTCCAGGTCCTTTGTTTCTGTTTTAGGACATTGACTCCCTGATTGTCATTAAGCAGGGTGCCGATCCTTGCAGAGCCGTGTTGTCTGACAGCTCTATTATTAGTAGGTGTGACTGAGTCCCTGAGAGGCAGCCTGAAGATTCAGCTTCATGGAGATTGAGACTGAATTGTCTGATCTAGACTTGTAACTGCTCAGTGAAGGGAAACAAGTAGAAGCTCAAACAAGGGGCTCAAAAGTGATACATTTTCACTGCGGTGACCACTGCAGACAAGGGCAGGCCTGTCCCTTCTCTCAGAGCCTGTGGTCTAAGCATTTCCTTGCTCCATGGCCTCCTTTGCTTCATTTATTGGCCACAACAGCTGAGCGAGGGGATCAGAAATGACTCATGGTGCTCATTCCATAAGTCCCCAGATAGGAACTTGCACCAGCTCCCACCCCCACAGAAAGCAAGAACCTTTCCACACTTGAGGTGAATACGGCAGGACCAGCAACTTCAGGCCTAGCGGCCCACCTGGAGAGGCCTTTCACTGTCCTGATGCTGAAAGAAGTAGCCTTGTCCTTCCCCCCAGGATGTATCTGGTGCTCAGGTCCCGCTTACTCAGAATCACTACAAATTCTTTCAGTCTTCCTAGAGCCATTGGTACTAATGCTAAACTATCAGTTAGATAACGTAGAATCGATGGTGATTGTCCTCTGGCTGAGAGGACGGCGGTAGTGCGCCCAGCCTGGCTGAGCCAGCCCACAGGCTCCATCCACGCAGAACTGCCTGCATCGATGCCAGGTTTCTGTGGGGTTTCTAGAGTTATTAAGTATGTGTCTGAGTTGCGGGGGTGGGGGTCAGTGTATCTCACCACATAATTGAATAAAGGCAGAAAACTGTAAGATCATTTAACTAGTTGCAGAAAAGACGTGATAAAATTTAATCTCAGTTCATGATAAAAACCAGCAGTCTTATCTTCAGGCTGACAGTGTATTTATACAAAGCCTGCATTAACATCATACCTAATGGCAACAGAAGAGTTTCCACTCTCAACGTTTCTACTCGGTGTTGCACTGGCAGCCCTAGTCCATGCAGGAAGGCAAGAAGAAAAAGTCAAAGGTACAAAAATTGGAAAGGAAGAAGTATCTTCATTTTTTAGGGAACGTGATTGTGAATATAGGCAGTCCAACAGAATCTGAATCTAAAGGTAACTTACTGAGCTGCTAGTTTACCTTGTCGGTCTCTCCCTCCTTGGAAGAGTTCTAAACTCCCCTCGCCCCCCTCCTTCCCTGTCCCCGCTGCCGTCCCCTTGGCTGGCTCTCCCGTACCCTGCCGGGGGTGAGGCAGCTCTGGGGCCCGTCCTCGGTCCTCCCTGTCTGCAGCTGCCCCAGGAGCTCTTCTGGGCTCATGACTAAGACACCTCATCTATTGGGTGGTAGCTAATAGAGCAGCCACTAGCTGTCGAAAGCTATTTAGAATATGTAAGTGGTGATCCTTGCTGCTGCACCCCCCCACTTCAGCTAATTCTTAACACAACTGCCAGAACTTGAAACCCTCCATCTTGTGTTTCACTTGTTAAAAAAGTCACATGCCTTACAGTGATTTTTTCAAGATTGAACAGCCTGCCTCTGCCACCCCTGCTGTTACACCTCTCGCTGCTTTCTCGCAAACTCTGTTCCAGCCACGGTGGCCTGGAGGCTCCTTGAGCGAGCCAGGCTGCCAGCCTGCACGTCTGTTCTCTCTGCTCACACTCACGCGTCCTTCATGTTTTCACTCAAATACTGCCTTGTACATAGTTTGTATGAAATTACAATCTAGACATAATTTTCTCTCTTCTCTGCCTTATTTTTAAAGTTTTTTTCTCTATGGCACTTACAATCTGCTTTCACAGTGTGTTCCCCAAACTAGAGGGCAAGTTTCATGAGGGTAAGAACTGTCTGTCCTGTTTAAATTGCCCGTGAGCACATCCCCAGTGCCTGGCACGTTTGTTTAGTAACTGAAAAACTTACAGAAATTGCCATCCAATAACATTCCATATATGTTCTCTTTACAGGTCATTAAACAGTTGATGAAAAAAGAATTTACTCTAGAGTTTTCACGGGATAGAAAATCAATGTCAGTTTATTGTACACCAAACAAACCGAGCCGGACATCCATGAGCAAGATGTTTGTGAAGGCAAGTATTGCAGACTGCAACTGAGATTTCTTACCAGGATGAGAATCCTGGGTGAGCCAGTAAGTTAAGACTGTTGATCTAAATCGGTGACATTTCCAGGGTGCTCCTGAAGGCGTCATTGACAGGTGCACTCACATCCGCGTCGGGAGTACGAAGATCCCCATGACTCCAGGAGTCAAGCAGAAGATCATGTCTGTCATCCGGGAGTGGGGCAGCGGCAGTGACACCCTGCGATGCCTGGCCCTGGCCACTCACGACAACCCCCTGAGAAGAGAAGAAATGAACCTTGAGGACTCTGCCAACTTTATTAAATATGAGGTTAGCTAATGAAAAGCTCACCCACACCCTGCACGTTCATTGTGTTTAAACAGCACTCCTTCAGTAAAAGGTCAAAGGAGTCTTGCTTTTGCCAAGAAGGGGGTGTGGTTATTTATTTCCTGCGGGTGGAATGCATCACTTCTGTGCTTTAGGTTGCTGCTTCAAACATATATAGTTAATAATTTAATACAGGCCTGTTACTTTTCAAAGCAGAATCATCGAGGCAAAGAACCTATCTTGTAACTCTCAAGTAAAGTAAGATGATTTTTAATTTGAGGGTATTTTTAAAAATAGTTATTGAAGGTCAAATTATCCAAGTGGAGAGAGTCCATCTACTTTTCCCCTCAATGAATTATTTCATATCAGGCATATGACTTCCTGAAGCCCTGAACAAGGAACAAGTTTGGGTATCATGGGCCACCAAGTGGCTGTTATCAAAATGTTCTTATTCCTCAATATCCTTTTTATTCATTCCAGAATATTACTGAGAGCCAAAGAATGATTTGATATATGAATGTAGTGATATCTTTAATTGTTTTTGATTTATTGGAATTAATACTGTTCTTCATTGGATTTATACCAGTCGTGTGAACTCTGTCGTAGGGAAATACAGAAACCTTTGCTCTCCACACTAGGGGAAGAGCCAGACTTCCCTGTTCTGACATGAGGCGGTTCTTTTGCCGTAGACCAACCTGACGTTCGTTGGCTGTGTGGGCATGCTGGACCCTCCGAGGATTGAAGTGGCCTCCTCTGTGAAGCTGTGCCGGCAGGCGGGCATCCGGGTCATCATGATCACAGGCGACAACAAGGGCACCGCCGTGGCCATCTGCCGCCGCATCGGCATCTTTGGGCAGGACGAGGATGTGACCACGAAGGCTTTCACGGGTCGGGAGTTTGATGAGCTCAATCCCTCCGCCCAGAGAGAAGCCTGCTTGAACGCCCGCTGTTTTGCTCGGGTTGAACCTTCCCACAAGTCTAAAATTGTAGAATTTCTCCAGTCTTTTGATGAGATTACAGCCATGGTGAGTCTCTGTGGACATGCGCAGGTGACAAACTGCAGAACAAAATATTAGGCTCTTAATTCTGACTCGTAAATTTTTAGTTGTAGCTCCCTTATTTGGAACTTCCTTATTTTTGTCATGATCTGGACTGTTCCTCTAGGATTCTGTTGACTGGTAGTTGGCATGCTGTATGTTGCATGCGTGGAAGTAGAGTAGCTGAAGACCTAGAAGTCTGAAAACTGACTTAGGACCAAGTGCTGGGCGCTCTGTCACCCAGTTCGGGGTGGCCTGACCTGAGATTAGACGTGCTGTGCGGCGTGGAGAGCTGCGCGCTGATGAAGCACTTGCCGTGTTCTTCCCCGCGTTACTCTTCAGCCAGACGCACGAACGTGGTGTTGTATTTGCTTTCCGTTGCTTGTCTGTGAAACTTTATACTTTGTAAAACAGGTGGATTTTGTCGTTTGAAACCAGTTGTTACAGTTGTCCTCCTCCCTCCCAGGGGAAAGTACTGTTCTGAACTCGGTTTTAGGTGTTTGGTGGAAGTCAAGAAAACATACGTGAGATTGATAGTTTCGTGTCTGTAGACAGTAAATACCTCCGTATTTTTGCCTGTTTTTGACCGTTATATGGTGCGTTATTATTGAAACCTTTCTGGAGTCTGTGTCTTTACCTGGGATTTCTCCATGTGGACACTGGTACTCCATCTTGCCTGCACATAGGTTGCGCTGTGTTTGGTTTGGTTACAAAAAGAAAACACAGATGAAGTCCCCTTTGTTCTACTTCCCTCTGAAGTGCCACCCATAAACTCATTTAGCAATTTTAAATCTCCTAGGTCAGATATGTTTTGTGACACCAACTTATAAAACCAAACACTGTCCTAGAGAATTTTGTGGCCTGAGGCCCGACAGCTCCATTCATCCCCGGGCTGAGGACGGCTGAGCGTGGTCAGGGCGAGGCGTGTGTTATTAGGTGGCAGGTGTGTGTAAACCAGCGGTCGGTTTCCCTTCCAGACTGGGGACGGTGTGAACGATGCTCCCGCTCTCAAGAAATCTGAGATTGGCATTGCCATGGGCTCTGGCACCGCGGTGGCTAAAACTGCCTCTGAGATGGTCCTGGCTGACGACAACTTCTCCACCATCGTGGCTGCCGTGGAGGAGGGGCGGGCGATATACAACAACATGAAGCAGTTCATCCGCTACCTCATCTCGTCCAACGTGGGGGAAGTTGTCTGGTGGGTTCCTGTGACAGATCACTTGTGTTCTTTGGCTTGTGACAGCCAGTTTTCCAAATTTGCTCTTCATATGGCTGCAGCTTTGGTCTTAGTGCAGCGGGAGCAAGGGAGGGCCAGGCCGGACGAAGGAAGCCCTTGTGAAGGTAGAGATCCTTCCGGCCCTCAGGAGGGCTGCCCATGGGCACCCTAGTGTGCAGAGGACTCCATTTAACATAGAAATGGATTTAAGTTAATTACGTAAGGTAACAAAATTTTTGGCTTTATAGAAGTTAATTCGAAATTGGGCATAATAAGAATTTTCTGATTGCCCCAGAAAAAAGTTATTTCGAGTGATGGTTGCTGTCCGTTGATATTTACGGAGGAGAGAAGATGGTAATACTGTTTAAATAGTGGTCAAAAGTAATACGGGATCTTTCTCTTCTTCCCTTTGGTGGAGACAGTATTTTCCTGACAGCAGCCCTTGGCTTTCCTGAGGCATTAATTCCTGTCCAGCTGCTCTGGGTCAATCTGGTGACAGACGGCCTGCCTGCCACTGCCCTGGGGTTCAACCCTCCTGATCTGGACATTATGAACAAACCGCCCCGGAACCCCAAGGAACCGCTGATCAGCGGGTGGCTCTTTTTCCGCTACCTGGCTATTGGCTGTGAGTACAGTTTTTTTATATTCTTAATTTTTAAACAAAGTGTTCGTGAGTCAAGATTTCGTAGATTCACCCCATAAAAGCACATTTTCCTTCTATCTCCGTATTAGGGTAGTAAAACATGGAGGCTGCTCTCTTACAGCTTAACGAGCTGTGTATACCCAGTTTACAGTAAAGCCAGTCTCTTGTTTTAGCATCCTCATCCTTCCTTAGGCCTCTGTGAATGAGGTTTTCAGATTTAACCTGTGGGCAAAGGAAATACAGGGACAACTCAGGCCTTATTTCACCAAGATAAAAAACTAAGTCGCCACTTTCCTGAAGTGAGAGAAGGGATCACTGCATTCATCAGCAGTGGTCTGAACGCACAGCGCCCTGGCCACAGGTCAGGTTCTGCGTGTGTCTGTAGACCTCATCCTCCTGACCCGGGGTGCTGCTTCCCTCTTCCCTGTTCCATAGGTTACAGAGGTTAAATGACTTCCCGGGGGTCGCAGGGAGAAAGCAGGAAGGCTCTCGGCCAGTCCCCCTCCTGCGTTAAGTTTTCACATGCCCTTCCAGGGACACTCTAGCAAGTAGATGTATTTTGGGTAGTCTTTTCACAAGCGATGGCCTGCTGTACAGACCTGTATGCTGAACCTTTCTGTCTCTCTCCCTATTTGGTGGCTGATTTCACATCAGTACAGGCGTCGCCGCCTCGTTCCTGTGTCATCTCTCTGCCGCTCCGTTGTAATTGCTGCGTTAGAGGGCGTTGCACTCGGACCTTGTGGTGGATACTGCAACATTGGGACAGTCTCTTACTCGCCTTGTGTTCTCCACTACCCTTTGGTGCTTCTTTGTAATAAACTTGCTGTTTGCTGTATTCAGCAGTGACTGGTGGGGATGGTTGCAGAACTGGCTCCAGCCACTGCCATGTGCTCAGCGTTTGGCACTAATTTCTCTAATGGCCTTTCCATATAAAGGTTCTGCCAGACTTTTGATGGAGCAAATAAGTGTACAGGTGGTACCATGAGTTTGCCTAAAGGTCATGGATGGTGTGATCTGGTCCAACCCAGCAGGGCCTTAAGTGGATGACACTGCCTGCAGCCTTTACATATTGTCTGCTGGTAGAGAAGGGCGGGGCTAGTGTGAAGGTCCTACCATTTCTAGGTGAAAAGTACCTGGTTCTTCTGTACCACAGACACCGTTCTCATTGAAGGAACCCTCAGTCTGGCTGCTTTGGGCTAATACCTGCTCATTACCATTGATCTCTGTCCTAGGTGTTGGCCCACGAGGCATCCCCTGCAGGGATGCTGCAGGCTGTAACCCCACGTGTGTCAGCATTGTGATATTTGTTCCCAGGTTATGTTGGCGCTGCTACTGTGGGGGCTGCCGCGTGGTGGTTCATTGCTGCCGATGGTGGTCCGAGGGTGACCTTCTACCAGCTGGTACGTAGCCACATTTCTTTTCTATACCATAGACGCAGAGCGTAAGCCTTCACAAAAAGTTGTCCTTGAGCTTTCTGAGGGTTGAATGTCTGTCAGTCATGAGGCTTGAATAAGCAGTTAGTCATTCTGAAGAACCAGAGCTTCTCTGGGAGATGGGGTGAGATCTTGTGTGGGTCTGTGTTCTGGGTGTAATGGGGCGAGTAGACTTTGGGAAGTGTACTTGGCTGATCACAGACTTGATCGGGCTATTGTTGCAGAGTCATTTCCTACAGTGTAAAGAGGACAACCCGGACTTCGAAGGAGTGGATTGTGCAATCTTTGAATCCCCGTACCCGATGACAATGGCGCTGTCTGTTCTAGTCACCATAGAGATGTGTAATGCCCTCAACAGGTCAGTGAGTCCTCTCGGCACCCCGGGGTGAGAACCGGACGGCCAGGGCGCTGGGGGATTGTGTGTGTGTCGCGGTTGACTGAGAAAGGAAAGCTCTGCCCTTCCCAAAAGAAAGAACAGGCAGCACCGGTTTTAAGAGCTTAAGTCCTCGTCACGTCCAGGAAGTAGTGGGAGTGCTCAGCCACGTGGTCCTTAAGAGACAGCGGAGGCCAAAAATCGGGACTTGAGCACCCGAGTGCCAGTGCCCACGAGGAAGGCGCTCTGCCCTTCAGCATTGAGACAAACTGTATCGATAATCCAATTAAGCCAGTGATAAAAATGGAAATTTCAAAATAGCCAAAGTGACAAGGGGAATTGAGCAGCTTTGAACCCACTGAAATGGGATCTCTGTGCTGAAGCCTGGATTTAAAATTGGAATCTGTCCTACATCTGAACTTTCTTCTGTAACTTAGTCACTGTAGAAACCTAAGTCAATAGAGTTAGGTCAGCGAGCAGCGCAGAACAGTGTAGTTCCGAACGGTCTCTCGGCGATGACGTGGGCCTCAGGTATTTCGGCAGAAACGCGTTTCATGTACCTCTCCTTGTTCTGCAGCTTGTCTGAAAACCAGTCCCTGCTGAGGATGCCCCCTTGGGAGAATATCTGGCTCGTGGGCTCCATCTGCCTGTCCATGTCACTCCACTTCTTAATCCTCTACGTGGAACCCTTGCCAGTAAGTGGTGCGGGGATCCGGGCTGGGGCCTGGCCTGGCTGCCCGTCCAGCAAGTCTGGGGGCTTGACGAGGCTTCTTTGTGTTTTCAGCTTATCTTCCAGATCACACCGCTGAATGTGACCCAGTGGCTGATGGTGCTGAAAATCTCCTTGCCCGTGATTCTAATGGACGAGACCCTCAAATTTGTGGCCCGCAACTACCTGGAACCTGGTAAAGAGTGTGTGCAGCCTGCTACCAAATCCTGCTCGTTCTCGGCATGCACCGATGGGATTTCCTGGCCCTTTGTGCTGCTTATAATGCCCCTGGTGATCTGGGTCTATAGCACAGACACTAACTTTAGTGACATGTTCTGGTCTTGACTGACAGTTTTACATAAAGAAGATGTTTAACTTAATCAATTAATTTTTTTATTGTTTAAAGCAACTGTCTTATTTCTGCTGAATTTTCACATGAACATATTGGCTGGTGAAGGAGGTTTCATATTCTAGATTTTGTTTCGCTTTTTCTGACTCCAGTGGGGCAAGAGTTTCCTTTTTTTATACACATAAAGTGTCCATTGACATGTACAGAGAACTAACACTATTTTATGCAAATATTTTTTTGTAGATGAAACAGCATGTACAGTGTTCTGTTTAATACTCATCCTTGTATAAAAAAATAGTTGAGCCAGCAGACATTGGCAGCAAATTAATTGGCAGCAGATTTTAGGAAATGAATGTGTGTGGTTTTTTCTAAAACTAAATAGCATGTGTTGTGTCTTTTGCATGGTCATCTGGATTTAATCTGAGATCACAGTCTTTTTATTCGTAAGCCAATTTTTCTGCACTGAGCAGAGTACTGCTACCTCAGTCAGTATTTTTTGGTTTGCCACCCCTTCACCCTCTCAGCCCTCGTTCACCCCCACCCCCACCCCACCCCGCTCGGCTGCTTCTCCTGTAGGGTTTCGATGGTTCTGTTTACATCAGTCTTAACAAGAGGTATGCCTGTTCTCGCTTGTGCAGAAAACATTGTTTCAGATTCAATCGACTGGGTTCGTGTCCCCTCACGTAGTTTTTAAGGTTATTTATTTAAACGTCTAATGTATTTTATTGTAACAGACATTGTTTTGCCAATATTGCCTATTTCAGTGGCACTTCACAATCTAGTTTAAAAAGAAAAATAAAACCTTTTAAATGGACAGAGAAAAATAACTGTCTTGTTTTTAAATCTTAAGTGACTTAGTTTGGACTAATAGGTGTGTCCAGCTTTTCTCTTAAGTCTTTAGCTCAGAACTTCAGTTTTACTGTGCTCGAGGGGAAGAAGGGTCCTGTTCTGCTGCATATAGGTCGTTGTAGGAATTTTATTTTTAATGCATAGGCACCACTTGTCATCTGTGATACATTGTATGCAAGTCTCTGCTGGCCGGTTTTAGCCTGGTGTAGAGAGTCATAAGGGCAAGTGTGTTTGTGTGTGTGTATGTGTGTGTGTGTTTTGTAAAATCTGTAAATAGCACATGACCAAATGAACATATTGTATAGAACTATTTTTATTTGAATGTGGCACTAACCACCACTGTTACTATGATACATGTTTGTGCATGTTGGAGATCAGTCTTACCGACAGTGTGTAAGTCATTAACAGTCCTAACCGTGGTGTTTTCCTCCAATGCCTTCCAACATCCATCAACTAACGTGAGTATTCCCTGAAATTTGGATGCTTTAGCCTAAAGGTGACTGCCACCAAGTGAGCTGGCTGTGTGACGCTAACAAATGAGCCTCTTGTGTCGGGTGCCCTGAGAGCAGCGCATGCAGGATACGTGGTACCTGTGCAGACGTGGGCCGGGCCGGCTGACCCAAGAGTGCTGTCCTAGACCCCGCACACCGCCATAACAGTGGCACAGCCGGACGGCAGGGGAGGGCCTGGGGGAAGAAAAACTGCTTTAGTCAGACTGACACACCGAGGGAGCTGTGCCTTCACAAGTGCTGAGATGAGGGTTTACAGAAACCTCTTTGTTGGCTGCAAGGGTTTGTCCCAGAATTTTGCTAATTCTGGTTCACTAAAAAGCCAAAAGCTAGCGGGGAAGGGGGGATAGCTCAGTGGTAGAATGTGTGCACGGGGTCCTGAGTTCAGTCCCCAGTGCCTCCGCTAAGGGGGCTGAGGAGTTTAGAGCCAGAAGCGAGTGAGAGGTAGTAACTAGGCCAGTTAACTCATGCATCCATTGGTTCATCTTAAATAGACCACCTGTTTTCAACTGGGTCATATCCGTGTGGCTGAGACTTAGCTTTTCTCTCAGGGTACGTTGCAGCACAGTCATCAGGTTGTTAGCCAGGGTGAAGGAGGGTAGGCAGCAGGTCTCCTCGTGAAGGTACTTGGGACCTGGTTTCTGGACCAGTCAGAAGACATGATGTAAATGCTGGGAGTTTGGGGAAAGGTCAACAGGTATCGAGCAGGACGAGGTGCTGCCAAGTTGAGGTCCCAGTGTAAGGAGGTGGAAGTGGCACATGGAGACTGAGTCTTAATGCAGAGAGTCCTGGCCTGGCTCTCAGAAGAAGGGGAGGCTGGTCTGCTCGGCAGAGAATGGAGCGGGTACGTTTTGCTGGTTTTAAGAAGGTGCAGAGACAGGTTGAGTGGGTCAAGTGCGAGGAGCGCGTCTTGGCTGCAAACCAGAACAGGCTGGCTGAGCTTGCTGGGTGGGGTGCTGTTCAGTGGGAACCAAACTAGCCTAATAGTCGACTTGTCCTGACTCAGTTCCTTGATTTACTGACCTTTACAAAACAAGCTGAATGGTGTGGGCTGCTGCAGGAGACGTGCACGGCCCTAGATGGTCCCGGGTGGCTGCTGCCTTGTGGCTTCTCAGCTTCAGACCTGTCTGGCCCAGAGGGGCGGTTTTGGGCACCCACCTGCCTCAGCCCAGACAGCTGGGAGTGGGGAAGACCACTGCTGCCACAAGCAGAGTCCCTCCGTCTGGTCTGCTTCGGTCTTTGCCACCGAAAACCTCGTCTGCACTGACACCTCATCAGCAACCGTGCTGCTGTGGGCACAGCCTTGGCCTCCGTCCTCCAGAGGGTGGAGCTGCCCGGCCCCTCACCAGATGCCTGCAGGGAGGCCCGCTCTGCCATGGCCATTAACGGTGGGGCGGCCGTGCAAGTGCCGTCGGGCAGCTTCTGCCTGCAACGTGCTTCACGTCCTTTCCCCACAAGCAAGTGGGCTAAAGATCTGTCCTGTCAAAGCGTTCTGTTCTTTGCCACCACATGCCTGGTCCCACCTCTACAATGGAGCTCTGCCCTTTACCCAGAAGGTGGCGATCTTACATGACCCCTAAACGGATCCCATACCGGCAGCTCGTTCTGCATCTGCATAAGGCAGGTGACCTGTTAGGCAGGGGCAACTACAGGAGCTCAGACCAGGGCAGCTGCCAGCTCCCTCACAAGCAGCTGTGGCCACATCACCACCCAGCTGGGCCCTCTGCCCCCGGACATTGGGTGGGCAGACCTCAGGAATGTGTGAGGCCACAGCATTAGCTCAGTGTCTGCCACACCTGCTTTGTCAGCCTGGAGGCACCAGATTCTGTCAAAACCACCACCCTGAGGTTACCGGGTTAACCTGGTTTACAAGGGTCAGCTGCCACCTTCTTTCTCCAAAGGGAATGATAATGAGCAGGCCCCCAGGGAAGGGAGGGGCGGGAGCCCGAGGCTTGGTGCTGATTACCACGCTCCTCACTCTCCTTACCCTCCGCACTGCTAACCAAGACCTTTCCTTCTCCTGTTACACCTGAAGTGTACCTGGTGGGACTGTTCTGTGAGCCAGGGGTGACTTTGCTCTGGAGCCAAGACGACACGGGGTGGGGGGGGTCTGTGAGCCAGTGCTTCTAGATGCTACCCTGTGCGGGCAGCGCCTCAGGGACGGTTGATCCGAAATGCTGGTCTTGAAATCTTAAAAGATCAAACTGAATATTCCTTTTTCATCTGTCACTATTAATCTTAGTCTTTTATAGTTATTCTAACATTTCCTCCCTATATTTCATAAAGCTGATTTCCTCTCTCTTTCCTTTTCAGCAATACTGGAGTAACCGCTTCCTAAACCATTTTGCAGAAATAAAAGGGTGTTCGGTTGCGTGCATGTGCGTTTTTTTAGCAACTCATCTACCAGCCCTCTGCATGATTGATGTTGGGGGAAAAAGAAAATTAGGGAAAAGTCCCCAACTCATTGTGTGTTATGTGGAGGAAACGTGTACTACCAGTGGGGTTTTTAGCTTTTAAATGAAACTAATTACAAATGTACAATTTAGCTTAATGAATCAGAAAGCCTCTCCAGAGAAGTTTGGTTTCTTTGCTGCAAGAAAAATGAGGTTGTGAAACCTTATCCAAGAACTTAGAAGCCATCAGCCAAGTCTCCATATTTCTCTGCAAAATGTCATAACTTAAATAAATGTACAATATTCAATTGTAATGCATGCCTTCAGTTGTAAGTAGCCAGATTTCTCTGTGGTGTCATTGAAACATGCTACTTTTTAATTGGCCCTGTACAGTTTGCTTATTTATAAATATATTGAAAACACTACAGGTGTTGAATGGTTAAAATGTAGGCTTTCAGTTCATAACTTAGTTATTTTTTTTGAGTGTGCAAACAGCTATTTTGCACTGTATTAAATGTAACTTATTTAATGAAATCAGAAGCAGTAGACAGATGATGGTGCAATACAAATTGTCATGCATTTATATTAATAAAATGCTAAATGTCAATTTATCACAACGCATGTTTGACTTTAGACTGTAAATAGAGATCAGTTTATTTCTGTGCTGGTAACAAGCATCGCACAGACATGGTTTCAGGTAAATAAATCTATTCTATGATAAGTTCACAGTGTGGTGGTGTTGACTGTTCTCTGGGAGGGGCGGGTGATGTGCACTGAGGGCTTCCAACCCTGCACCCTGCACGGTTTTGCCCTTGTATGGATAAAAGGAACAGCGCATTCCCAGTGACTTTGGGCAGAAAGCAGAGTAGTAGGTCTGCTTGCTTGTGTGTCACAGTATTCCTGCCCTGGCTCCACTGTCTCCCTTCAAGGATGAGGAAGCTAGGGTTTTTCAGAGATAATTAACATGATTAAAAAGTTGTCAGCAGCTTGGAGACAAAGCACTGGGCTTGTAATACTGTTCACACACAAAACTTATCTGTAAATTTCTGCATTCCCATTGTTAACAAAAAGACAAATCAACTCTACAGATATGGGAGGGGGGAGAATTTGATCAAATTTAGCATCCACTCTTGACTTTCAAAAAAAGGAAAACCTGAAGTATCCATAATTCCCATTTTTATGACATAAGGGAAAAGCCAGAAGAGCTGAATTCCAGAATTAGACTCACCGTCCACCAACGCCCACAACTCAGCCCTGTGCTGGGGAGTCACTGCAGTCAGACAAGAGGGGAAAAAGGCCTAGGAGTGAACAGAAAGGAGCAATGGTCATACTGGATCAATGAGGACACTTCGTTTTTAGGAAAGTTCAGTAATTAGGGGTAAGTGACATTTTAGTGTGAATGATACATGTCATACATTTATGATACATGAGAATGCCAACAGCGGTTTTAATCAAACGCTGATTCTAACAAAAGTGAAGGGAGAAAATGCAAGGGGGGCAAAGAAGGGTACCAAACCTCTCAGGTGTAAGCGACAGTCATTAAATGCATTATTTGAGAAAGGCGTTTTAGCTTAGCTGGTACAAGTTGGGTTACTCATGTTGGTGATCGTTCTGAGAGGGAAAAAAAGAGGCTGTATCCTTTGCACCCAGTCATTTTCAAATAGCTCAAAAGACGAAAAAGGAAGCTACATCCCAAAACACGACTTGAGTGACACAAAATTTGAATGACTATAAATAAGAGAATGTGTTCAACCCCACTAGCAAATTTATCTCATGAGACGCCATTTCATGCCCAACTGACCGAAAAATGAGTCTTCTAATACCAAGAATGTGGAGAACGGGCCATCCTTACATTGCAGAGCAACTGGCTCCTAACTTACAGCATACAGCAGGGCCACTCTCAGACTCACCTTAGAGAACTCATACATGGCCAGAAGGCCATGACAGGGTGTTTGTGAAAGAAAAACATTGGAAACGACCTAAATGATGACCAACAGCAGCAGGAAAATTGCTATGTATGTTTGAGGAATGCTGACACCACTCTGCAGCAATGAAAATGAATAAATGAACTGC